GTCTTTCCACGGGCGGTTGAAGCTATTTTGAAGAATCACTTTGTGGATGACTTTCTCGATAGTTTCGAGAGCGAAGAGGAAGCGGTTCATGTTTCCCAAGAAGTGAGAACCATACACCAAAAAGGAGGTTTCCATCTCAGAAACTGGCTATCAAACAGCGCTATAGTGCTAAACGAACTGAAGGAAGAGGAAACTTTGGGAACCAAGATCCTCTGCGTGAGTCCAACAGACGGATGCGACCGAGTATTAGGAATGCTGTGGCTCACGGATGAAGATGAGCTGCGGTTTTCGATGAAAATGAAGGATGAAGTTCAGGAGGTAATTTGTAGAGGTGATCGGCCGACTAAACGGCAGATGCTGAAATGTCCGATGGGGATCTTCGATCCATTGGGACTTCTGAGCGTGTTTCTCGTTCACGGCAAAATACTTCTTCAGGATGTATGACGAGCTGGCCTGCAGTGGGACGAGAAGGTGCCGGAAGCAATATTCGACCGATGGATCAGGTGGACTGGACTGTTTCGTAAGATTGGTGACCTACGAATCCCCCGCTGTTACTTCAAGAAAGCGACCACGCAAACATACGATCAACTTCAACTTCACATCTTCGTTGATGCAAGCGAAGCTGCATTCTCCGCTGTAGCTTACTTTAGAGTGGTCAACGCTGAAGGTAAAGCCGAATGCACAATAGTTGCTGCCAAGACGAAGGTCGCACCGCTCAAGCCACTTTCAATTCCACGCTTGGAACTACAAGCAGCAGTCCTGGGAAGTCACTTGATGTGAAGCGACGATTTCTGTGGAGTGATTCCGCGACTGTATTAGCTTAGCTGCGAGCTGACCACCGCCGCTACAAACAATACGTATCGTGTCGGATTGGAGAGCTACTATCAACAACGGACATCGCAGAATGGCGATGGGTCCCCAGCAAACTCAACCCTGCGGATGCGGCAACAAAATGGGGGAAAGAACCCGTGTCCTGAAGTCACTGACGAGTGGTTCAGAGGCCCGCAATAGCTTCGTCTCCCCGAGAACGAATGGCCGAAGCAAACCAAGGAACTGGTGCAACTAAAAGAGGAACTACGGCCCTGTTTTGTGATACAAGGTTCAACAATTCCAGCTACCATAGTAGATTTCTGTCGATTTTCGAGGTAGAGCCGGCTATTAGGAACAGTTGCGTACGTGCACCGTTTTGTGGACAATTGCAGGCGTAGAAGACGAGGAGAAGAAACACAATCATCGTATCTGAGCAAGGATGAGCTGAAGAAAGCGAAGAACACTTTGATGCAAATGGTGCAGTGGGAGGAGTATCCTGAGGAGATGAACTTGATACTGGGAAGAAAAATGGAGCTACACAAAACGAGCGCCTTGTACCAGTTGACGCCAACAGTGGATCAATACGGAGTTCTACGGGTCGGTGGAAGAACTGGAGCTGCGCCACATACTACGTTTCATGCCAAGTTTTCAGTAATTCTCCCGAGAAAACATCCAGTAACCAGTTTGATGGTGGATGATTTTCACCGAGCTTTTCGCCACAGGAACTCCGAAACAGTGGTGAATGAAGTTCATCAATTCTACTATATCTCTCGGCTGAGGACGGTTGTGAAGCAAGTAGCGGCTGCTTGTCAATGGTGCAAGATGGCGAAGGCAACACCGAAGGTACCGCAAATGGCACCACTCCCTATGGCTCGCCTGTCGTCCTTTACCCGACCGTTCACGTACGTTGGAATTGATCTGTTCGGCCCGCTGTCTGTGAAAGTAGGAAGGACTACTGCAAAACGCTGGATCTGCTTGTTTACCTGCTTGACAACTCGTGCTGTCCATGTGGAGGTTGCATACAGTCTTTCCACACCGTCCTGCGTGAAGTGCATTCGCCGTTTCGTTTGCCGCCGTGGAACGCCAGCGGAGATTCAGGGTGCAGAGAATCTGTTACGAAAGCAGATTAAGGAAATTCACAACGGACTGGCAGCAACTTTCACAAACACAGATACCAAATGGATCTTCATACCACCAGGAGCACCTCACATGGGCGGTGCTTGGGAAAGAATGGTGCGATCGATAAAGACGGCCATGCAGACCGCTTACAACAACGATCGAAAATTGGACGACGAAGGATTGGAAACGCTGGTCGTTGAAGCCGTGGGTATCGTTAACATTCGACCGCTTACGTACCTGCCACTGGATGCTGAAGAAAGTGAAGCCATTACACCGAACCACTTCCTGATGGGAAGCTCAAGAGGCGTACGCCAACCAACTGTAGCCTTTAGTGATCCAGCTTCTGCAGTGAGAAACTCCTGGAACCAGATTCAACACCAATTGGACGTTTTTTGGAAACGGTGGGTACGGGAATACATCCCAATGCTGACGAGGTGGATGAAATGGTTCGGCGATGTCAAACCCGTAGCTGAAGGAAACCTGGTCCTGATTGTCGACGACACCCGCAGGAACGGTTGGATTCGTGGACGCGTTAAGGAGGTCGTGACAGCGAAGGATGGAAGAGTTCGACAAGCTGTTGTACAAACTGCGAGGGGGATATTACGAAGGCCAGTATCCAAGTTGGCTGTATTGGAGGTTGAGTCAGGGGGTAAAACTGGGACCGGTGGCCAGTGTTACGGGGGGGAGGATGTTGCCGCTGGGTTCACTGCTTCAGGTTAGCGTTCCGCGTTGTCGCCCCAGCTGAACTCCGATGACGGCTGTCAACGGTCAGCTGAACGTATGACAGGTGACAGTAAGGAAACATGGGGACAAACTACTTCCGACGAGGAACAACAGAACGGATAGCGAAGCAACAAGCGAAATAGAGGCTACTCCAGCGAACATTTGTTATTCTAAAATTTATTAATACCTAAAAGATTCACTAGTAGTGAAGTTTGCCTAATTAAAAGCACATACAGAAACATTCCTAAACAAGTAACAAACATAGATTTCAAGCATATCATTTGCACACGTAGAACACCGTAAGTGTAAGTAAACTAACCTATAATTTGTTAATCTATTCCTACTACTGAATTACACTTGCAGTTTAAAGCTGCACTAAATCGAAAAGATTTGTTTATGTGCTGCTCAAAACCCGGTGTCCGAAACGTATATTTTTTTCATTCTGCCTGCCTTAACAGTTACTGTTACTGTTACTAATATGTTTACTTGTTCTAGCACGACTATGTCTTTTTACAACATCCGCACTCGCATTTTCTTGAAAAACATCATCATCATCATTATCACTATTTTGGAATTTACGTTTTTTTGAGTCTGATATTTTGGTCGGATTCTGACTCAATCTTCCTAACAATTTGTTTGTAACTATTATAACTAGATTTACTGTCGTGTCTAAAGGCTAATTTTCAGGAACAGCAGCCAAAATTGAAGACTCACCACAGCGAACGGTAGGTTTAGGTATAGGCTGAGCTTCATTCGTCATTTGAATCGGAATTAGTGGTAAATAGTTGTCTACTGATTCATACTGCAAGCATTTGTGAAACCGGATTCGAAAAACGGCGTCTCATTATAAATATTAGAATAACATTCCATTGATTTATGATAGATCACTTTCGATGTATTGGGAATTCAAATCATCCTAATTCGTTTACGTTGATATGATCATATCAGTTGTTCAACCGGACGACTGTCTAATTAGGAATATACCAGATCGCCCCATTCTGTAGTATCTATGTGGTCTTTGGTTTAGCAAAGCCATCAGCGCTAATGGATTGTTTGGGGAGCATTCAAGTTATCGTTGATTGCATTTATGTTCCTGTTGATTGTTTTTATCATTATAGTACTATGTAGATGATCCAATCAATCATTAAACTAGTTTATTGGTGAATTGGTTTTATAGCTGGTGACAAAACATCCTTCAAGTGCTACTTTGTTTTTGTACCAATCATCTTGATTTAATTTAAAATAACTGTAATAGAATTCCAGGTTCACCATTTTTTTTTTCAGATAACGTAACCATCATAGCACAGTCAGTAAAGCACAGTTATAAGCAGCTGGGTGAAATACCCGGTCTCGTCGAGTAATTTTTCGGATTGGAAAATTCATCGACTTCCTCTATGCCCAGGGATTTTACTTGCTACACAATTACACTAACGCAAAAATGGTACAGGTTTAGAAAGAGACTCTCAATTAACAACTCTGGAAGTGCTCAATGAACACTAAGTTAAGAGCCGGCGTAAAGTCCCTGTGGGACACAATAAAGCCAAAAAAGAAGACGCCACCATGGATAATTTTATACCACCCACCTCTATCACCCATGTCGGTCGTTCCAACTTGGGAGTCCAAACTACGCTGTGGTTGGGGTTGACTGACTTTCGTGCATCCGATCGTTATAGTTTGTCAAGGAATGCGAATCGTCCACCCATCAGTGAATGTTGTTCTGCGGAAACCATCCACACGCGCACCCATATGAGTTCTGTAGTTTCTCAAACTAACTTGAAAACAAGATCGTTGAGCGGGAGGAATCACCCCGCGAAAAAAAAACGGACAGAAACAGAAACAGAGCCCTGATTAGCTGGATTCGTCCATGGTTCTGGATAAACAGAGCCGTCGAGCAGTGGGATAGGAAGGAAGCTCCCGTCCAAAAAGTGTTGATCGTGTCAAGTCGTGCTGGTCGTTTTCTTCAAATGGCGACGCGTTCTTCGCGAGCAAGTGCTTGATCCCGAAGCCAAGCGCGCCCTGTGCTGAATGATATGACGGTGGCTGGTGACGAAGACGGCCGCAACGAAGAAGATGTCTATATAAAAAGCCGGGCCTGGGATGGGCCGCCCAGTTATTGTTTTTAGAACCGGCGACTGACGAGGTCGCTTCCAGGATAGGTAGTGGCGCATTTATTGCTCCAATTTTTCACGGATTGCATTCCGGAGCGCAAGTTCACACGCGAGTGCATCGATTTTAATTCCAGCCAGCAAAAGACCTTGAACAGTGAAGAGAAGCACGCGAGGAAAGGTCCAAAGCAATTTATGCAAAGACGTAGAACTTTTTCGGTTCCAGTGAATTTAAGAGAAAGAAAACGGTGAAGAATCGAAACGCGATAAACCGAAAAAGGAAGAGTGATTGAATTTTAATTAAAAAGCGAAACCCTAGTAGTAGCTGAACTGCGTGGCGTGTGTGTGTGTGTGTGGGGGATTGCAGATAGATTGCAGACCAGGAGAATGTTGCGGATTATATTGGTTCTGGCGGTAGGTGTTTCAGATGCTTTTGTTTGATTGGGGGTTTTTGGGCATGCGGTGAATTATATGCTGATTTTGGACGATCGCTCCTGAGTGTGGGGTCGAGATTGAGTGACGTTAATTGATTCTCGGTTCATTGGTTATTCGAAATGCAATTGAGTGATCTTGCAGGGAAAAACGTTGAAGGTATCAGCTTGAAATGAAGGATGATTTTTTTTACAATTAATTTATTTTTCAATGCTTAAATTCGGATGCTTTGTGGAGCCAAAGTCCGTTAAACTTTTTACAATATTTCCTAATACTTAAGTTACTAGAAGAGAGGTACGAATACTCGCGGCTTACTCGAGGATATGGGCTACAATCTATTAACAGGTTGGGAGGGGATCAAGGAAAAGGTACACAAGGATGCCATTGATGTATTTATCTCCATCGCCGTTGAATTGCTGTTTTCCGACGATTGGCCGTGGGAATTGAAGGATGATATAAAATGCATATTATTGATTAATAAATAATAAATTTTTAGCATGAAATGTAAGGTTCACTGCACTTCTACATTCAAAGTGTTTTTATGTTACTTCATACGCGAAGTTTGTGATTTTCAGAGTTGGTTGGAAATGCTATCTAACATGAAGCTTTAGTGTGATAATTTATTAGCTAGAGAATGGTCTTAAAAGAGGGTAGGTAGATAGTTCCGTTAGAGTACAGCTGTATGAAAATTGAATAGAAGTTGAAAATGAGCGAAGGGCCATTAATGCGACAGTGCAAGTCAAGCATAAAAATACTTTGAATGTAACAACTCAAGGCGGGAGTAGCCGTCAACAATGCTGATGATGGTACAGTACGCAACAACCACCCTACTGCTTTCTCTCTGAGATCACTAAGTTGGTCATGACAAGAGGAGCAACACTATGGTTGGGTAAAGAAAAATTGCATTATAACACACCACACTGGAAATGCTTTCGGCAACTTGGGGATTTAGGCAGTGATGAAACGTCGCTAGAACTATTCCACAGCCGCAGACAGTATTTGAGCAAAGTCAAGCGCACACTTTTTACCTGTAGATTTGAAGACATGCTTCAAGTCCCCGCGTACATCGTACGGGTTAGGCAAAAGATGTGCGTTTGACTTTATACTGTCGCATTAATGGCCCTTCGCTCATTTTCAACTTCTATTCAATTTTCATACTGCAGTACTCTAACGGAACTATCTTTCTACCCTCTTCTAAGACCATTCTCTAGCTAATAAATTATCACACCAAGGCTTCATGTTAGATAGCATTTCCATCCAATCCCCATCACATCTAAATGTTTCATGTAAACATTGGTATATCAAGCTGAACATTGCATTAGGTCCTAAGTAACATTGACTGATTCTCTTCGTCGACTTTCTCTTTTTATCCCCACGACCATGTAGACATTTCCAGGTATTTTCAGTACACAGATCGATAAATGAAGCTTTTATCTAGCATCTAATTCAACAAATGATTATGGGCTCAAATTATTAACGAAACAGAAAGTCAACGAAGAGAATCGATCAATGTTACTTAGGACTTAATGCAATGTTCAGCTTGATATCATCTCAGATCAGATTAAAATAAAAAAACTGATTGCTACAATTTTGAAATCAAAATTCCCTTCTATCAAGTAATTTTAATAATAAAATAAAATATTTTTTAAAATTTAAAACTAAATTCTCAATAATGACGGTTTTATTTGTATGTCATCTTAAAGTCATCATTCTCCTGGGTGACTTGATTACTTTCTAAACACTTGTTTAGTGATTACTTTTAAAATTATGTAGAAACGTAAATATTTTTTATTGGCATTAACATGTTTTAATTTATTGACTTTTTTTTTAATTGATTTCCCTCTAATTTTATGTGGAACATTTCCAGCAAATAAAAAATAATAATTTCAGACTCATCCTTTTACACTAAACATTATCAAAAATTATAGAACAACAGCTTAGTGAAATTTTTCATTGTATTGTTTATAATTTTTTTAAATTAATTTTTTCAAGTTCAAGTTCAAGAAAATATTGTCTGTTCGAAAATGTTTAAACAAATGGTTCAAACATTTTTGTTAATTTTTAAGAGTGCAACTTGAGTATTTCACAGAAGATAGTGTTTTTCTAAAGAAAAATGTTCAAAAGATATCGAGGTGGGTATTTTTTTTTTAATTAAGTTTAAACCATCTTGCTGCTAAAAACAAATCCATCCATGGAGGTTCTGTTTATGATCACGATATTATACTTGAGCAATTCGCAAAATTTCGTGTGTAAGGATTTCTTTTCCAAGATCTCGAATTTCATGTATTAGGACAAATTGTAAAGGTTTCCTTCAAATTGCAGATCCTGGATTTAGAAATAATTGCAAGATTCCAGAAGAAAATATATGTTAATATTTCGGTCTTAGGTACTAACAGTTCTTGGATTCATGCAAAAGTATAAAAAATCCCAAACTTTATAAGACACAGAATTTATTTTCCAAGATTGTGGAACCTCAAACATTAAAATGTTCAGATCCTAGAGCTCCGAACTTGGACAAATTTAAAAGATTTTGGACTCATAAAAACATTTCGATTTTCAGCCTTTTCAAGAATCATCAACATCTGTATCTTTGAAAAAATATTTGAAATCCTAGACCTAGGTAATTAAAAAAAAAAAGTTTTGAAATAGGAATACAACCTGGAGAACCTTGAATCGTTTAAATAGTCCCTAAAAACGACAAAAATAGCCCAAAAAAGTCAAAATGGCCAAGTGTTTTCAAAATTTCAAAATGGCCTAAGCACGCCAACATAGTCCTGAAATTCAAAGTCTTGAAATGAACACCCCTGTAAGCACCAAAAGACCCTTGAAAACTAAAACTTAAACTCTAAAATGGCGTTGAAATTTCTAAATGGCACAATATATTTAAAGTAGGTAAGATTCCGTTGGAGGTTTAAATATTATATAAAACATTTATATAATTTTAGTTTATTATTTTGAATAATTTGTGATGCAAGCTTCTTTGGGCAGCCTCGCAACCCATAGATTTAGAAACGCTGTTCTACAGATGTTCGGTAAAAAAGACTACAAGGGACAGCACTATGGGGTTGTACGCAATAGCGGTTCATATTCTTTAGAATGACTATGATTGCCCTGAAAAGGACCTTTTGATATGAATTTTAGTTGTGACATGTTCAGAAATTTAACTCTTTTGAAAAATCTTGGTGGCCCTGAAAAGATCCTGTTTCACGTCATGGTTCTTCTCTATGCCTGTTCAGATAAATTAGTACTTTTATTTATTTTCTCTGCTGCGTTAAATCAATCGAGTAGAAATAAGAAAGGATTTCGGTGACGCGCTCGAATAATTGAAAATTCGATAAATATTTAATCCAATAGCTGGAAAAGTCTTTACAATTAATCGTTAATCGAATAATTGGACTTCTAGGCATCCCTAGAAAAAAAAATGTAATTTCATGTTTTTCGGTGGTCCTTCGAAAATGTCGAACAGCAGAATTGCAACCAGCAAGTGTAATCCAATGACTATAACTATGACGACAACTGAATTAAGGGACTTAGAAGCAGAGGGGTGAAAGTCAATTCTCTACATCGATTTCCTCTTTTGATGACCATACATTCGCACTATTTCTGATATGCTCTTCTATCAACCAGAACAACAAACGCATCAATGAATGAGTTTGCCGTCGAGTTAGTAACGAAACAGAAAGTCGATGAAGAGAATCGATCAAAATCACTTGCAACCCTGCTTCCAAGTTTGGTAACAAGATTACAACACTGGAGACCATTTTGTGTGGTCTTTAGGGCGTGTGGTTCTGAATATGGTGATGAGTGTGCAAAATGTTACGCAATTGCATCCTCCCTATTCGCACACGCCCGAAGATCGAAGACGAATGCCCCTTTGACTTGTTTCGTCTACTAACGATTCTCTCAAGATAGTGTTGGGGAAGCAGCATATGCATGTACGTAATTGGTGGATTTGTTAGTTATTTCGACGCTTTTGGACAATGCTTGACATTGACTTTTCAATAGTTTCTTGTTGAAAATAAACAGTCTGAAGCATTGATATCGATGCGTAGAAATATTTCTGATCGATTGGTGATAAAATTATTGAAATTGGTCCAGGGGCAGCTGAGTTATAAACATTCAAAATCTTTCATAATTGCGTTACATGTTGCATTTTCAGTTTTCACTAAGTGTACCCCCATATAGAAATCACAGACGTAGTCCTAGGAGAATTCCAAAGGAGTTCTGAGAAAATTTCTTAGTATAGTTCCATCCGCATTCTGAAGAGTATTCCTGGAAATATGACTCTGAGGAGAATCCTGAGAATTTCCCTCTATATTTTAAGGGAGTTTGGATTAGAACTCAGCCAGGTCGGTAATTTTTTGCCGAGATTTGAACAGCCGAGCGTTCCGCAATTAGTTTTACTGAGATCTCCGCAAACATGTCGTTTGTTTGCTGAGCAAAACTTTTCCTGAGACTGCAACGAAACTTCAATTTTGCTAAGATTAAATTAAGTGTGAATTCTGATAATAATGATCTCCTTAAAAAACTTTGATGAGAATGGCATTTGTAGGTATTCCAAGATATTCTAAGAAAGTTTAATTTCCCCACCAGGATCCTTTTGTGCGTGAGCTTTTTTGGCGTTGGACTACCTCTTTCTGGGATATACTAAGGTGCAAATTAAAAACAATGTGTAACAAAATAGTGTCAGGTCTGAAAAGCCTATAACTTGACCATTTATGGTTGAATTTAAATTCTTATTCCACCATTTGATTTAGATTTGATGTAAGATTCGTTTGGTATAAAAATTCGAGTAGTTTATCATTAGCAAACTATTGAAAATTGATTAAACTTTTTGGCCACAGTCATCAAATCGCGTACTTGCTTGTTTTGACTATCAGCGTTGCCAGACCTACCGATAAATCGGTATTTGTGCCGTTTTAAGCCGATAAATAATGACGGACAAAAGTAACGCTGATTTTATGTTTGTCATACCGATTAAT